ACAGTCTTAGATAAATACTCATCCCAGCTATGTGGTCCATGGCATGTAAATACTGCATACGTTAATTGTTTTTTAAGAGAATTACCGGAGATGCAGTCAACCAGGACAATGGCTCCGTCGGTGACACGGAGAGAGGCTGTAACGTCAGCCGCTAGGTCAACGTTGTCGGGAGAGTCGATCAGGTTGATCAAGAAAGCGTTGCCGTCCGTCTCTTGATCCTGGAGAAACGGCATGTCGGCATCGCTCATCTCGTAGTACATAGGCACGACCCTGTGCACAAGACAGTACAACAAAAACACGACAAGTGGCAGGGAATTGAGAAACTTTCTACGGTCCTTGCAAGATAACACAACTCCCCGCAGAGATCACAACACCATGTGAACCTCTTCCACAACGGCATATTTCATATTGGAATTAGGTCCAATATCATGATATAATGCACTCTTGGTGTGAAATTTACTAACTGCGGGAAAGAATTCAGTCACGTTCGCATCAACGCTCGCACACGAAAATGTAGGTGGTGCAAGGAGATGCTTGTCGTTTAAAGAGACAAGTAGTCACCGCTGCTTCTCCTTGTCAGATTCAAAAAATGCACTAGATTCTGCAGTGTTGGGAGTAGTGTTCGAGTAGAAATTGCTGACTAGACGTCGCGGAAGGCGAGCTTTCCTGGCAGTAGGGGGTTGGCCGTATTTCAGCATGGTCGAGTGGAAATATTCAACCTTGTATTTTTATCTTTCAAGAAAACCCAAAATCGAAGATGGGGACATGTTCTCAGTGCCAGAATAGGTGTTCTGCTTTGTACTGGCCACAGTGGTGTGTGTATACAGTAGTTGTGGCTGATTGCCGACATTGCTTGGTGTGAAATCAGCGCCTGGGAATTGGCTATGAATGTCTGTGGCATCAGGAGGTGCTGGCCCGCGTCTTCTGGGATGCCGGCGTGGCTAAACGGTGCTGCCCCAGGCACTCATCTAAAGGTGAGGCAATGTTGGCTTGATGGGGCTTTGATCGTAGCTTGTTCGTGTACAGTGTCCTGTCCGTGAGAATATGATGGAACATGACGAAATTATTACCACACTTAACCCTATTCCAGTAATTGTGTACTCGCCACAGTTACCCTACATCGCCACAATATACAGTATAAAGGCCTCCTTTACGGGCAAACAGAATACAATTGACAGTGGCATGGCGAATGATTAGAACACAACACCAAAAAATGAAAACAATTGTATGTGTGAAAAAACGCAAAAAACGAGAGAAAAAAAAACAAAAAACAAAAAACACTAAAAAACCAGGAAAATACAAGGGCACTGTCCTGCCCACCATCGTCTCCAAAACCTCACAGCCGGCCCTCCGAGATTGCCAACTCTCGCAATGAATTCACAGGACAGTGATATGACGATGGGGCACCGCGGATGCACATGATCGCCGACCGCAACAATGCAAACGCCAGTACACAGTGTAATATAGCTTTGCTGAACGTCCAGTCATAATATTATTATTCTCACCTGTATATTTATCACTTACCAGCGTAGTATACTCTTATCAATCATGTGCTACCTTCTTACTTGTATATTTTGTTTTGTCACCCCAAGTGTGTAAATCCTATTGCTATTTTAATATTTTCTTCAGTCACGAGGTTCCGTTGATAATTGCGACGAGAAAACGTTCGGAACAATTTATTAGTTGGTATGATTGAGTGAACCTTTACTTTTTTTCATTGCATTATCATGATCATTTTCTCCACATCACTTATTATACACATTATTCTTAGCACTTACGTGGAGGGGGGGGGGGGGGGGGCTAACACCAAACAACTGAAGGGACAATACATTTTCCTTCTGAACACATGGCTCAGCGAACAACTTACGAATATACAATGTTTCTAAAACAGCTAAGTGCAACTGAGATCTACCACGAGCCAAAACCGAGAATACGTCATCACTGTAGAACTCACCACAACTACCACTGCCTGGCAGATAGAGCTTCGGAGGTGTGAGTGTTATTCTCTTCGTGCTTATTTTGTCCCCACCCGTCCCTCCCTGATTGCTCTAAACATTTCACTCTTGAAGCGTGGTGTTTTATGTCGTTCAATTATTTGCCGATATAATAGCTGTTTTAGACATGACGAAGTCTGAAGAATAGGTCGAGCGTTCTCTGCTGGAATAACCGTTACACCATAGCTCAGTGGCTAGAGCATCGCTAGCTACAAGCAAAGATCCTCGGTCCGAGTTCTGGTGGTGACAGTCAATTTTTTCTTCAAACTTTTCCCGTTTACGTCGTTCCCTCAATCCAGTGAATGTTTTAGACCTAATTGTATTTTCATTATTCTATTGGCTTGGAGAGCCTCCCAAGATAGATACTAGTAGTATCCCTTCACCTTTTGAGAATCCTTTTTTAAATATACAACATGTGCACAGTACAATTATTTGAATACGATGCTTCTAACCTAAGCAAGACTTGAACCAGGTCCTACTCAGTGAGTGCGTTCGATTATGCCCGTGATTATGCCCACGAATCGATGTTGAATCCATTCGTGAATCATGCCTCGCTATTCATATCACCCAATGTGAATAGGGTGAATGGATTCCAAACCGATTCCAGAGCTCATGACATGAAATCGAACGACGAGTTTCCATTCATGAAGCGATTCATGGCAGTAATCGAACGCACCCACTACTACGTAAAAGAATTAGAATCTCCAGCTTCAAAACGGAAAGTAAATGCTTTCCTTACGCGGACTTCTCCAGACAGCATTCTTGTCCATCCGCACCGGTGGTGGTGATAGCAGCCTTGGCGGCCATGGATTCCATCAGCGTGGATTTACCGTCATCAGCTTGCGCAATGACGGACATATTTCGGATGTTGTGCCGCTTGTCCATGATGGCGCGGACCTACATGGACGTGTATGTGTACGTGTACGTGTACGTGTACATGCGCATAATTATACACATCAGAACATAACAGAATCCCTTTTTTTGCTGCGCAAGACAAATAGAGAAACTTTCAATTTCCCATACTGATTACAGTCAACTTGGCTAATAACGACTTCGGATATAACGACTGCGGATATAACGACTGCGGATATAACGACAATTCGCGAATAACGACAGCATTTCCATGCCCAGAGCAAAGTCCCATCCCACTGTAATACATGTTATGAGACTTCGGGTATAAGGACACTTCGCGAATAAGGACACCTTTTTGATGCCCCGCCGAGTGTCGTTATAAGCGAAGTTGTACATGGAAAACAGTGGGCCACAAGTTATGCGCTACAGACCAGTCCACCAACTAAACCAGATCTTGAACAGTCTTCAATTTTTCGCTCATCATGATTGATTTGAACAGAACGCATGCAATTCTCCATTTGGCCCGAAGCAAGGCGGGGAACAACCATCAAACACCAGACACTCCATCTAGCTGCAGGCAATGTTTGGTCATGTCTTCAACTGTCTCCTGCCACTCCCTCATCTTCATACATACTCAAAATTCGTTCATAATAATGTGTATTTTGTATAATTTATTTAAAGGATTCCCCAGAAGCTTAATACATGTACACGTGTTGATGTTGATAAGGTTGAGGGATTTTAAATGGGAAAGTGCTGAAGGAAACATTGACTGTCAACAGCAGTCCTGTAACCAGGGACTAGCTTATGGACAGCGATTGTCTACCACTAAGTAATTAGTTATAGTGTAGCTGTCATCCAAACACTAGACTTGTGGCTGTGGAGAATTATAATTTGGGCTGCGTTTACACGGAGACGAAATGAAACGAAACGAAACGGAACGAAAACGGGCTGGCCTCGAATCGTTTTCAAACCGTTTACACGAGAACGGCAAATCGTTTTGAACCGTTTACACGAAAAGAGAAAACGGGCGATCAGGCTGGAGTTAGCACGTGCTGGCTTGGCGCAAGGGCGGGAAGTAACACGTTAGTTGGAGTTGGTACGTGCTGGTGGTCGCAAGGATTGGGTATTTCCCGCGAAATATACTCCAGCACGGAATGGTTTCCATGACCGCGCTCCGTTTCCAATCGTTTTCACTGTTTTCACCGTTTACACGAGAACGAAAACGTTTTGAAAACGTTTCAAAACACTTTGAAGTGCGTTTCCATTTCGTTCCGTTTAGGTATCGTTTTCGGGCGTTGTCGTGTAAACGATAGTAGTAAACGCAATGATTTCGTTTCGTTTAGGTCGTATTTCGTTGTCGTGTAAACGCACCCTTGATGTTGGGACCGAACCGATCATGTTTGACTTAGGGTGCGGAGAATCACATACTACTTGCGCATCATCCCGTTTTCCTCTCAGCCGAATTTTTTACGCTGCTGTGCTGTTGCCACACGAATATTGGTACTTCTATTGGCAGTATTGCTTTGCCACAAGACCCATGTACTAATTAAGCTCGAAAAAAGTCTCCAGTGAACTTTCAAAATTATTGTAACATGCGAGGTTGAAGAGTCGTCCTCTTCCTGTCGCAACCCTCTGCCTCTCGTCATACATGTAGATCTATTATGTACGTTGTAGACTTTCGTACATTGAACGAGGGGGAGCAAGTCCAATAGCGTGTTCATCTTAGCATGGCGAATTTCTGACGTTTTCTCTTTCGGACGGGCTTGTGTTGCTCTGTGATAGCAGCAAACATTTTAGTTTCACTCCGGGGACCACTCAGTGCCCAGAGCAGCGGTTGGAGATACATGTACATGTACATCGAAGCGGAGCAACATGTCGTAAAAGAAATCCCTCTCCGAATGCCTAGCCTCTCAGGTTCCACTCGCGAGTGCAAACTGACATGCTCACGATATTTATTCCTCTCCTATTGTCAGCACCAGAAATAAAGAGGAACTAAACTCAAGCCGACACCCTCGAGCTTAGCCTCTACTCTTGCCAGTCTAGATGCACTTGTGTAGTCGCTGTCGGACTCGGCGACCGGTCGACCACCAAGCAAGTGAAGTGCGCTCGCGTGCAAACGTGCAGCTACCACCGCCACCGCACCGCCACCGCCGGGACCGCAGCGTTACAACACTGATCTAGCCGGATGTGTCTGTGCTCTTCTGCCTTTGTGGTATTCCTCCGTCATTTAACCCTTTACCGGTCTACCATAAGCGTTTTAGGCTTGTGGTGTTGAGTACTGTAGGCAATCTCACCACAACATCCTGAGAGTATGGACGTCTGGCCCATTTCCCGGTCATGACACAAGGATTCTGCACTAGGGCTAGGCACGAACGTCGTTAATTAATCGGATTGATCTTTGTTTTAGTGTTCTGATGCAGAATGCATTGCTGCTCACAAAGCGAACATCACCAGTCTTACCTGCTCGATCGAGAAGTTCACCTTAATGCATGGTTTGCGACGGTGACACGCGGCGGCCGTGGAATAGAAAACAAACCAAAACAGACCAGAATGAAGAAGCAAGATCGATAGGCTACCTCTCTGGCAGGGATTGACAGCCACGTGACATCCCAGCCTGAAACGATTTCATCCATGGTGCTTCGTTGCATAGCTTACCATTTTGGCGTCTGGAAGAAGAAACTCCTCGTCAACTAGGGCAATGAATTGGTGCTTTCTGGGTAGGTAGGTACGTACAAGTACGTATGGTTTTATTTGAATTTGAAGAACCAAATGGTCGGTGTAGCACAATTACATAGAAGCGAATGGAAACAATAAATTATTGTAGTAAATGGTCCTGGCCTGGGTTTCTCATGCACTTTCTCCACTGATGAATGTCGTGACACGCAGTTGACAACAATGGAGGAAGAAAAAGACGGTGCTACAGATTTATTGGAGGACGATAGCGCTAGTGACAGCAGTGTGATGCTCTCTGTCTGGATCGTGCCATACCCCCTCATCTTGCTAGCCAATGAACAGACAGCGTCGAATGAGTGGATTCAAGTGGCACTGGACTGTGAAGCTGCACGACATCACCAAACCCAAGCAGCTACAATGTAAACACAGTAAGTACGTGCACGTCGTCTAAGTGTTGTGGATATGGCGTATTGTCTATCTCTGTTGTTGTTGTAATACTAATAGGACCAATACGTACATGACAGGAACATTGTAGGTTTATGCGGTGCACTACATGTACAAGGTATTTAGTCCAAGAGCCCTGAATTAATTTAGGGGAGGTCACGCGCATGTACACTCGCCGCCAAGCGCGAGGCGTTGCATCAGCAAACTATGTTACTTGGTACATTGTACATGTATAGCAGGCATAGTGATTGGCCTGACACAAGCGAAACTTCCTAAGCTGGTTGTATTCTGCAACACAATTATAGCCGGAGGCAGCGCGAACGTGTGAACTAATAACTTCTTTACTTTTTTTACGAACGTACGTGTACATGTACATGACGCTCGGTACAATTGAAACTGTAAACTGTATTCATAATAAAACAACAGGAAGAAAGGAGATAAATGACGCTCGGTACATGAAGCTTTCTTCCCCAGGCATGTACATGTACATGACGCTATTTCAATCACCGGGTTTCAGTCACCGGGTTTCAGTCACCGGGTTTCAATCACCGGGTTTCAATCACCGGGTTTCAGTCAGCATTAGTATAAGGTGGGACACCACCATTCGCGGCCCATACATGTATGAGACAGCATACAATTGAAATAGGCATATAGGACTATTACTGTAGTCTGAAAAATGTACATGTACACACGACATGTCTACATGTACATTTTTCAGAGAGAGATTGTAGTTGATTGGCAGCCCCATTTAGACCACTACTGGCACTAGTGCAACCATGTACATCGTACGTGTTGGGTATTCCAATGTACAATGTACATGTAGTGATGTACATACATGTCAGTTGTCTGATGATTGCCTAGCGCCAGTAGCGGCATGAAACTCAGAGTTACAACCAACCTGAACGTCCTCCGCTGAGTCTGCTATGTACTAAGCTCTGTCTCTGATATTGAGCACCCTCTGCAGCTCGGGGATCAACGGATTTATAGATTTATACATTTTACGCGGATAGTCCTGTCCCACTACTGGCAGTAGGCATTACCAGTGTTGCTGGCTACCACCTACATGTACATGTATGCGTTACAATGACCTCCGTCACCTGACAGCATCTATCTTCAAACTCAAAGACGTGGCCCATGATACGAGCACCGAACCTCCCCTGCAATCACTCACCGGAGAGACCCTGCGTCTCCACACAGCGATCTCAGCGGATAGCGCTCGCCTTGACGTGGCAGCATCCAGTATGGCCTTATGGGCTGGGTGCTTTGAGAAGACATTCCTCGACATTCGCGTCTTTAGCCCGTATGCGCGTTCGAACCACCAGCAGACGCTTCCGACAACATACTAGTACACGTACCGAAAACATGGAGCCGAGAAGAGGCGTTCGTATGAGGAGCGAATCCGAAGAATTAAGGCGTCATTTGTGCCGGTAGTCTTGAGTGGCTCGGGAAGATTCGGGAAAGCGGCTTCTGTGCTTTTCAACAGAGTTGCCTGTATGCTTTCGGTCAAGAGAAAAGAGCCCTAGTCCGTCGTACTGGTCTGAATAGATCAGGTCAAGGATCTCTTTCTCTCTTGTTCGCTCGGCTAATGCTAGCCTCAGTGGAGATCGCGCCGCTCATCCGACGTCCAACCGCGCTTTGGCTGACAATCCGGCTGTGCTGGCCGCAGCAGAATGCCACTTTTGATCCTCTTCTTATGCCAATCTAGCCGAGAGAGTAGTTTCATCAAGTCCATTTTGCTTCCCCCCCCCCCCCCCCGCGCTGGTACAAACTCTTTCATGTTGCTTGTGTTTTCACAGTACATGTCACGATGTACCATTACTCTACTACTCTAGTTCTATTAATTTAAGTTCCTAGTTTGAGTTGGTTGGTTGGTTGGTTTATTTTTAATTCGCACAATAAACGGGAACTAGGCCCAATGATATGAAGGCGAATGGATAAACCGCATTTAGAAAAGAAAGGACAGGAATTTGAACATTACGAGAGAAAAAGTATCTGATCGAGGAGTCAAGTGGGTGTCAGGGGTGACAGGGTGGTCAAGGAGAGCTAGGAGGCGGGCTAGTCTGAGCAGCAATATGGTAAGCAACTTATGCTAAACCTTTTCTGTCTTTCTATGGTCCCAACATCATCCGGCAGCACGTTCCAGAGTGCAGATCCTGCGACGGACGGCAGAGAAGCGCCAGAGCAAGTGGAGGATGGCTGGCTGAGCAGACCACTGAACCTCTGATGACGGGTTCTCCTGCCAGCAGATCTGACGAACAGTCCAGAGAACGTGGCACTAGCTTTCCCGTGAAGGCACCTCCAGAAAACCACTGGTAGCTTGCACTTGCTGAGTTCGCCTATCCGGTACAAGCCGTGCTGCACCAGCAGGGGATACAGGGTTATGTAGGGTGAGTGGCCGTCGATAGCTTGGATAGCCCTGTTGAACACAGTTCTGCAGGGCTGTCTGTCTCTTTGCATTGGTTTTCACGTCAAATACAGGTACAAGTGTTTTGCGAGTAACTGAGGGCAGACCTTGGTTCTTGAGGGCTTGAAGGCGTCACAACTCCACCGGTGAACGGTCAGGTGTACCTCCACGTTCATTGTATAACGTGAGATGCACAGCTCCATAACCAAGTTGCGTTCCGTGACACGCCCATTGTCGTGCACTACAGCTATGCTAGGCTATTGTTTTATTAGTATTATCAAATCATTCATTTTACATCGGAAGCTCAACAGTGCAGCTGCACAAAAACAAAGAGGCCAATGGGACCAAAAAATAAAGATTAGAAATGCTACTTGTACTGTTGTAGTGTATGGACCACGTGACAGTTCTATTGCATATTGCTTGTTGTTATCATAGCAATACGAATAGCATACGTTTCGCACCAGGCTTTCTAGCGCAATAGCCACGCCTGGTACTTTTAGATTAGATCTTTTCTAAAGGTGGTTATTTTTTTACTAGCAAACAAAGCCCTACTAATAATCAGGGGAAGAGGACAACTGAAATGACACTGGACAACAAGACAAAGGGGAGTAGGGGCGATGTGCCGATGTGGTTGGCGAGGCTCATTCGACCGGAAGTCTTGAGATCATAGCCTACGACCAGGTATCGATAGGACTGCAGCTAGGGAGGGAGGGAGATCAAGTTAGAAAGAGAAAAAGTAAAGCTCTATCATTCGCGTCCTGCTACTGCTACTGCTACATGTACGGTATACGATGGTGTTGGGAAACACAACCAGCTGCTTAGGAAGTTTCGCTTGTTCCAGGCCATCACCATGCCTGAGATACCAGGGTGGCAGATGCAGCGCATAGCGGCGAGGGTGAAGTGGTACGTCTCACAGTAGAAGATCTCTTCTGCTTAGAGTACTGTAAAAGCCATTATTCTAACGAGGCGCATACATGTACATGTACATGTCTACTGATGATTGCTTTTCAGCATGAAACTCGTGAGTAGAGACATTTAATCACTTTTTTTGTTCGACCGGATTTTCGTGTGTACATGTATATAACGATTTCCCAAAATTGACCTGTTTACGTGTACCAAAGATAACGCTTCTCACGCATTCTCAACGCTCAATAGAACAGTATACATGTATGTCTCGATTTCTGCAAAACGATTTCTATTTTAACTACAGATTTTTCCTAGATACTTCGTTAGAATGAGCACTTCGTTATACATGTATGTATATATATATACATGTATATATGGCTTTTACAATAAACACGAACACTTATAACGCTTTTAAAAGTACGGTAAGAATCGTCGATTGCAACAAAGAGGGTCATTCTGAGCCATCATCAGGCAACAGCATGACCTCGAACAGGCAACCACGCTATATGGTATACATTGTGAGAGCAGTCAGTGTTTCAGGACTTCACAATAGTATACCAGTGTGGACTGATTAATGAAGGTGGCGAATGGTTATCTTGAACGGTGAACTATTAGACATCCCCATCACGGCTCTGTTGCTCTCCGCATGCGCAGTTCTCTCACCAGCTCCACGCCGCATGTTATTTAATTATTTATCACTCTCTTATTATTGACCCCCACATAAACTTGTGATCTCTAAGCGGTCAAATATGTATAGGATATTGACCAAGACGAGGTCTATATGGGAAATATAGGCCGAGTAAAAGACTGAGGTCCGCCGAGGTGTTTTACGAGGCCTATATTTCCCATAATAGACCGAAGTCGAGGTCAATATCCTATTTATCACGATTCCTTTGCCATAACCCCAAAATTTGAACCTTTAGGAGCTATTTTAACCTTTTTAGTATAGCATTTATCGCCTTCTTAGGGGGCGTTCGTTTTTTATCTACAGGTTTGGGTAGAAACTACTTCTTACGGTAGAGGTGTTCGTTTTTTGAAAAAAAATTCTACTCAAAAGGGTAGATTCTACTTTCCTCTACCGGCTCTACCGGGAAAAAGTTGGTAGAATCCGGTAGAAGTTGGTAGAGCTACGGGATTTCCAGCAAGATCAAGGATTTGTACACAACTCCATAAAAAAAAGAAACATTTCACGTACACATAGTGAAAACTACTGGATCTGGTAGAACAGCGTTCGTACACTTGCCTCTACCATCTACCTCTATCGGTAGTGTGACTCTACTCTACTCTACCAGGTAGCTAAAAACGAACGCAGCCTTAGTATTTGACCCCACTAATTTCCCTGATACTGTACCAAAGCGGTCTACTTATATTTGTCTTGGACTTAGAAATTTTCTCTCCAACTTAGAAAAATAAATTTTTGAAGAAAGCAGAAATACACAAGATGGGATTCGAACCCACAACCATGTGAATCTCAGTCACTCTTCCTTACCACCCAGCCACTGTGCTACCGATGCTGAACTTAGTTTAAACAATGACCTTG